CCGAAGCTCTTTAGTCTTTTCCTCGCATTCTACCTGCCCCACCCAACACTCGACGCCATTTTGCTGTAGGCATATTATGTATGTCTTTGCTGGTGGGGGGGGGGGGATGCGTGCGAATTATTTGAAAACTACAATGGGGAAAAACCAGGCTGGGGAAACTATTGGTAACTATTGTTGTTGTTTTTTTGGTTCCATGTGCAACTGTTTCGTGCAGTTCAGTGAACGTGGTTCTGAGTGCAACATATGACGCCATCTAGCCCATGGGATGTTACGACGGGCAGATTGGGTTTGGAATTTAATAGTGGTTCTTAACTGTGGGTAATTTTGACCCTCTGTCTAATTTGTAGGGGCACCTCCGATAGATGGTTGTAAACGGAAGCAAAATAACTTTTCGATGGTTACTTTTTTGTTGTTGCAGCGGTGGGCAGCTGGTATTGGTATTCTTTTCCGTCGGATACTGTTTTTGTTTTGAGAGTGTTTATGGCCCTCCTCTGTCTCGACGTCACGGTGTCAGGAATGTGCTATCATCTGTATGACCCGTCTCTTATGCTTGTACCGCGCCAAGACATAAATGTCTTGTGTCATAAAGTGCTGTATGTTTAACGCCCTTATCTACTCTATTAGGTAGGTGATTTAAGAGGCTGGACCTCCGAGTTTAACGAAAGTCCGTCTCCGAAAGGACCCGAGCCAAACGGGAAATTTGTGTAAAATGCCTTTCCCACAAGGACACAACGTCGGACCGAGCTGAGGCTCGAACCCCAGAACCCACGGTCTCACGATTACGGGTCCGGTAGCCTAACTACTAGAATACTGACGTCATTGTCTCATGTCAGACTCAGTCACTTTCATAGGGTGAGCAAGAACCAAAGAAACTCTTGTCACAACGGACAGTTTGGGCAACCTTCGAAATGAGGACGTTTATTAATGTTTGAAAGCTCTTAAATGCTATTTATGACTGCGGCGAGATCCCAGAAGAATATGACGAAGTCAGTTTTTGTAGCTAGAAGACGAGAGCATGTTTTTATAGATTTGTCCCCGTGGTTTTATGCAAAAACAAATTATGAAATTATGCAAATTGATCCCAAAAAATGCGAAATTATGCGATTCTGTTAATTTTAACAAAGAATGATGAAGGAAAATAATAAGAAATTATGCAAAAAAAATGATCAAATTTAGCTAAATTATGCGGGGTGCATAAAACCTCAGGAACAGAAAAATGGGCAATGTTGTGATTTGAAGATCGTACCGCCGGCTGCCCCTGAGTTAGGAAATAAAGAAGACGAAGAACGAAGAAGAGGAGGAGAGGAGGAGGTAGAGGAGGTGAACAAATGTCAATTTCATTGTTCTTGTTACCGGGCGTCCTATCCTTTTCGTTTTTCCACCAGGTCTATCCCTGTCTTGCCCTCTCCCATTCAACTGTTCAACAGATGGGACATTTCTTCGTCACCCTTTTCTTCCCCGGGTTATGTATTGGTCCAGAATACCTCCTCAGCGGATAAATAACTCTTATCAATTCACCCTTCGTTGATCATGATTATTTTTATTGCTGTCCTAATCTTTTCAAGGGGCGGTGGGTGTTTGTCTTCTCCTGCGAACAGTCGTTCTTTATGTGTTTGTGTGTGTGTCATTGTATATGGTTATAATCATGGATCCTACGTGTGTCTCATTGTGTCTGGAGTGGGTGGTTGGCGAGTGCTCTGGTGTGGTTTGCTCCTTCTTTCCTATAAAATATATATCGTCTCTATCTCCCTTTCTTCTTTTTTTGTGTGTTTGTTACTCTCTTGTAACACCTCTAATCTTTGGCACTTATATGACCTTATTGTGCTGCCAGTGCCGTAAAACTCTTACTAAAACTAAACATTGTGTCTGGTTATATAGATCCTACGTGTGTCATTCATTGTGTCTGGTTATAATCATGGGTCCTACGTGTGTCTTTGTGTCTGGTTATAATCATGGGTCCTACGTGTGTCTTTGTGTCTGGTTATAATCATGGGTCCTACGTGTGTCTTTGTGTCTGG